TTTTTTTTTTTTTTTTTCTTTGTATGCCTTCATAGATAGAGAAAGACAGTTATCAAGATCTGAGATCAAACTTTGGGACCTCATTGACTCATTTTATTGGGCATTAGAGTAGACATCAAACTATTTTGTGGAGAAACACTCGGCCCTTTCAGTGGTTTTATTTTCATAAGCAGATATTAAACCTCTCTGGTCTTTGATTCAAAGTGATCAATTTTGCCTTGGCTTGGGAATATGACATAACAGCTGTCTTCTAAAGTTTATTCTTGACCATCTGAGAGCTATTAATTTGGCTTCTTATTGCGCTGATGCCTTATAACTTGTGTCCATCTGAGTGTTTTGGCAGCATGCCATTGGTTTGTTCCCAGACTCTACATAGAAACTATATTTTTGGAGATAGTAGCTATAATCTGTAGGTGTAACTCATTGGTAATCTTGGAAATGATTTTTTTTCAGGTGTCAAAACTAGATAAACCTATGTTTAACCACTGAGTTGTCTTCATGTTTCATGCTTTATGAATCATATGACTCAATGTGTTTACCTATTTTCCCTGGCTACTAGAGATGTCAGAACATATTTATAGCCTGCCTGGCTTTGTTTTATTTTTATTCTGTTATTTGGTTCTCACTGGTTTGTTCATAGATTTATTATTTTCTCTAACTAAAATAATACGCTTTATCACAGTTATGCCTAAAAACATTCATATGTCTTCCCTACTTGGCTCTTGCAGTTCTTTTGTATTTATTTACTATATTAATATACAGAAAAACACTAAATTATTTTTCCACATTATTTTTCCTCTCATTGGAATATGTAGAAAACAGAAAAACACTAGATTATTTTTTCCACATTATTTTTCCTCTCATTGGAATATGTAGAAATCTGTGATTCTTGTTCTTTTTGTTAACTAAAGCTGGTCAGCTGTTATGAGATTATTTTTTACTGCACTATTTTAGCAGCTCCATGGCCATTTAGAGATAAAATACACAAGAACATATACCCATGCATCACCTTTAATTTTTCTGATTTTTCAATGGTGATATTTTAAAAAAAAATCTCTGGTCTTGGAGTAATGTAACCAGAGTTTGAATGCCAGTCTGTCAGTTTTAGCTCTATAACCTGGGACAAGTTACTTCATTTCTCTGAACGTATTTTCTTATCTAAAATAATAATGACCTGGGGCACCTACGTGGCTCAGTCGGCTAAGCATCCCACTCTTGATTTCGGCTCAGGTCAGGGTGTCACAGTTGTGCATTTGAGCCCTGCACCAGGCTCTATCTACCCTGACAGCACGGAGCCTGCTTGGGATTCTCTCTGTCTCCCTCTCTCTGCCCCTTCCCTCCTTGTGTGCTCATCCTCTGTCTTTCAAAATAAGTAAATAAACTTTAGAAAATAAAATAATAACCACCATATGGAGTTTAGAGGTTGTATTTGGTCTAGGGCTGCTGTAATGAAATACCACAGACTGGGTCACTTAAACAACAGGAATTTACTGTCTCTCCGTTCTGGAGGCTAAAAGTCTGAGATCAAGATGTCCATAGAATTGGTTCTTTCTGAGAGCTGCGAGGGGGCTTCCAGGTCTCTCTCCTAGCTTCTGGTGCTTTGCTAGCAATCTTGGGTGCTCCTTGCCTTGTAGAGGCATAAACCTGATCTCTGCCAGCATTGTCACATCAAGTTCTCCCTGTGTGTGTGTCTCTGTGTCCAGATTTCCCCTTTGTAAGGATTCTTGTCATATGGGTTAGGGCTCAACCTAGTGACCTCACCTTAAACAATTACATCTGCAACAATCTTATTTCCAAATAAGGTCACATTCTGAGGGTTAGAAATTCAACATATGAATTTTGGGAGGATACGCTTCAACCCTTAACAGGGGTATAGATTAGGTAATGGATAGAAACATTATATAACTTAATAAATAATATATAATCATCCTCATAATGAAAACAGTGAACATATGCCAGGCTCTTTTCTATGTACTCTTAATGTATCAATTTTACTAACCAATTAGGTAGATGTGGAATTATCCCACTTCACTTGCCAATAAGTGAATTGAGAATTGACGAAGATTTAGGAACTTGTTTTGGGGTCATAAGGTTGGTAAGTGGGAAAGCAGAGTTTATTACTATTTTTTATTTTTTGGGGGGAGAAGCAGAATTTAAATCCAGGCACCCTAGCTACTTTAAGGCATTATTACTTTTAAAATAATAATTTGTTTTTTTGATAGTTTTAGTGCCTGCTAGATGTGTGTGCCAACCAGGTGCCCAGTAAATAAATAGAGGCAGGAAACATATATTCACTTACTCCTGTCTTTATTTAAGAATTATATGTAATTTACTTCTGAAATACTTGAGGTGAATATTAGATTATCCCAGTGCAAAACTATTTATATGTAAAAATATTTAGATGTAAAAAAATATTTAGATGTTAAAAAAATAAACTTATCTGAAAGTAATGAAAGGAATACTTCCTTTCACTGGTTATTATACTTGATCACTAAATTTGGTTCTAAATTTTCTAACTACAAAATTAAGCAGAAATCTATAATGTTTTATAACTTTTTTTTTTATGATATGAGGAAGATTTAGCTATCTAAGATACCAAATAGTTCCTGAAACTAAATTTCAACCAAAACATCAGAATCCTTGGGAATCATGAGAATCCTTATATTCAGAACACAGAGAAGACAGACAATAATGACTTTGGTCACAATTTTCTGAAATATCTAGACTGATGTTTAAATAGACCATATTTTGGTTTTCTATGTCCCTAAGGGACATAATATAACATGAGTTACTGTGATCCAGGGACTCTGAACTCTGGATGAATGGGTTACAGATGCATTAGAATAGTCGTTCCCAATGTCTAACTATTTTTACATGATTTCCAAGAACTTTGTGTAATAGTTGTACTTTTCATACCTATTGATTGAGAAGATATGTAATGACATAATGACTAGTGCCTGCCAAGATCAATAGGCTAAGAAAACCTTCCAAATAGCACAATGATTTAATCTGTTCCCTAGGTTTAATTAACAAAGGCCATTTGATGTTGGTGGACACCTGCCAAATACAGTGATGTTAGTTCTAATATAATTAATGCTGAGCTGCTCCTTTTTTTCTTGCTGACTAGCTATTTCTTAGGATCATAGCTGGGCAAAAACATAAAATCATTATGAAATATTATTTTAGAGAGGTTATATAAAACTTAAGGATATTATTTTCACTGCAGTTTTATCTTTCCCAAACCTATGAAAATTTACTGATTTATATGTATGAATCCCTCAAGTATATTTTAATTTCATATGTACAAATATATAAACTTCTATGTCTACTATATCTGAAAGATGCTTATTATATTTCCTTATCTTTAATTCCCTGGCACTAATAATCCTATTTTTGTTTAAAATCAGACTCTGAAGAAACAGTGTTTAGTAACAAACTGAGTTTAAGAGGAAAGTTATCTATCACTTTTGATCGCATCTAAGATTATTGTTACACATATAAACAGAGGATTGATATAAATTTATGTATTTCTGATAATATAGAAAATCAAAATATAATCTATTTTATAGTTAATAATATTTCCCCTTAATAGTGATATTCATATAGTTGATAATATTAAGTAATTTTTAGATGGTTTTAAATATGAAAATATTTTGCTTAAAATAATTATTTTCTAGAAACACCGATTAATCTTCCAATTTTTTCATAGCTTTAACTCCTTACATTACAGTCACTTGCCACTATTTAACCTTGAAAATATGGAGAATGCAGTATATGGCCATTGTCTAGGGAAGAATTTATCTTGTGCTAGAAGATTTCCACTATTAGAATACACATTTTGGAAAGATGACTTTTTATACAGTTTTCTTGTATAGGTATTTATAACAAGAACAAACAGTAATTATACGACATAAAAGAAGTGCAAATAAAACTGTGATAGAGAATGTAGTAAATTATATCTCAAACCTAATACACCAAAATGTAGCCTGATGTTCATGCCACTTGTAGGCTTTCTAAATCTGTTAAATCTTAATGTCTTTTTTCTTTTTTTAGAAAACACATCTGACCTCTGATTTTTCTGTGCATTTAATTGATTCTTGGGAAAAGTCGACTGATTTATATGTGTATATCTTAATAGTAGAGGTCTTTCGAAGGAGAAGAATTATGTTTGTTTACTAAATAAATACTGAGTAGTCACAACTTTAAACTTTTTCAAGAAGCAAATTCTACTCCAAATTCTGGGCATTGTAAAAATGTTATTAAAAAACTATGACATTTAGAGACATTATGTTTTAGGTTTCCAGAACTTAGTAAATCATGTCATTAATATATGTTAACAGGCCTGAATAAGCAAACTAGAAAAAGACTGATTTCCAATTGCTGAAGTTATGAGCCCAATTTAAATGCTTTCTTAAAATAGTTTCAGCAAAGGAGCTAAAAGGAGTCCAGGAGCTCTTGCCGTAAATACAATTATAATAAAATTTTACTTTTTATTATTGATGTTTAATGACAATTGATAAGATTTGTGCAGGTGTTTGTGTATTAAATACTTATTTTATCAATGATATATTTTTAGCAATTACAAATCAGACTCTGTTTTTTTTTTTAATTTTTTTTTTTAACATTTTATTTATTTTTGAGACAGGAAGAGACAGAGCATGAACAGGGGAGGGTCAGAGAGAGGAAGGCACAGAATCTGAAACAGGCTCCAGGCTCTGCGCTGTCAGCACAGAGCCTGACGCGGGGCTCAAACTCAGAGACCGTGCGATCACGACCTGAGCCGAAGTCGGCCGCTCAACCGACTAAGCCACCCAGGCGCCCCCAGACTCTTTGTTTTAAAGTTTGTTTTGTTTTACCACCACTATAATCCTGGCAGCTGCTTTTATTGTTGTTATAATTTATTAAAATGCTAGATACATTTTAAAATGTGTACCTTATTAAAATACTAGGTATTTTAGCAATGATAGGTTTTCCAGTCTCTGTGATATTTCATGTTTGTGATATGATTAAGTGAAATTGTTGTTTAGCCTTTCAATACATGCTTAACCCTTTTCTTTTTAGAGATATTTCCTAAATTTCCATATTTCCTAATATAATCAGCATTTCAGATGACATAGGGATTTGTCCTTCATTTCTTATTCATTCTCCATTCTCTGTCTTTGAGTTGCTATCTGATATTTAAAATGAAGCATCATAGTGGTACTACTAAAATCCTTTGCATTTATTAATGGGGTTCTAATCTTATTTTAGGGAACTGATAATTCATATTTGTATTTCCTTATGGACATTAAGTAATCAAGAAGAAAATTAAAATGTTGACACCACTTTTACAGAATACAATGATTTCTTAAATATAATTTTAAGGAAAAATTTAAGTTCTACCTCCATTTCCTCTTTCCACATCTAAATTCTATATTTGGTTTATGGTCAGTATTATCACACCCCCCCCCCCTTTTCATGTAGCATAATTGCACTTAAGTTTCTGGGTAGGATCTTTTTATTTTCCTAAGAGTTTTTCAGAATCTCAAGAGTTTCCTATAAAATCTTGTTTAGTCGATTGGTGAGGGAAATATACATTACATTGTACATTACAACAAACATTACAAATGTTTGCAAACATTTCAACAAGCATTTTAATGTTTCCTTCTCTCTTTCTCGCTCTGAGAGAGAGAGACTGGACCCACAAGTGCACAAAACAGCAAAAGCATCAATCTCCTGGTGCTGAATACTACCAACTCCTTCAGGTGGGCCACTCTCCCATCAGCCCCAGGCCCCCACCTGGTCTCCGAGACCAGGACTCGGGAGAGAGAGAGAGAGAGAGACAGAGACAGAGACAGAGAGAGAGAGAAAGGGAAGGAAAAGGTAGATAATATAAATGTTAATAGAACCTTGGTCACAACATTTGGCATAAAAGGTCTGTCTGACAGAGGATGAAGTGCTCCCTGTGTTTCCAAATAGTACAGAGAAATAAGACCATTTGGAGCCCCCCTAAAGTGCTTCTTTATATACATATATTATGATCATTAGGACTACTATGTTTGAGGAATGCAAAAATAAACCCATTAATTTCACAGCTGTTTTCTTTTACTTTGATGCCTCAGTTTCATTGCTGTTGTTTCGACTATGACTAAATGCCTCTGAGGAAGAAATCTCTTTAGGTGAATCTCTTAATTCCCAGGGGGGTCTGAGTAGTTACATCCTAAAGGTATTTATGAACATAGAGCCTGATATAATAAAAGGTCTCTTAAAGCACTGGCCCATTTGCTAGATTTTGCCTGTAGATATCATTTCCCCCCTATAGTGTTTTTCAATTAATTTCAATTGGTTCAATTAATTTCAAATGGTTAAAATTAGAAGATTTTACCTAGAATTTGTTATCAACTTCAGTTTTGTTCAGGCAAGTGCACAAAAGAGCAAAAGCATCAGTCTCCTGGTCCTGAATACTACCAACTCCTTCAGGTGGGCCAGACACTCTCCCATCAGCCCCAGGGCCCACCTGGTCTCTGTACTCATTTGCCTGGTGCCTCTAGACATTTGTATTTCTACCATAAGTTTAAAATCTAGTAAATTAAGTTACCCTGCAGACTACTTCAAAAGGACAAAGTAGAAGCAGAGAACCTTGTATATATCATTTGAAGTCATCTGACCATTATTTATTTTATCTAAGAGTAGAATGGACGGTATACCTCTGAAACTTTGAGCCTATTTAATTCACCATTTAGGAGAGGTGTCTTAATAGAATCGGAGGGTCAGATGAAGCTTGTGTTACTAAACAAGGATGAAACATTGAGACCCACTGGGAATCTGTTCAAGACAAATTAAAAGCAAAAACATAAACAGTTTAAGTAAGAAAAAGTTAATTAGATTCCCAAGATGTTTTCAATCAATGTCAGTTCATTATTAGCATTAGGCAGGGAGGAAATACATAACAAGCAATTATTATCCTGAGAGCAGGCCTTCAGTTCTGTCCATGTTTTTAATTCTTGACAAGACCGGGTTCTGGTTTGGCGTAAGTCAGGAGTTATCAAAAGGCTCTTCTTTCCCAGACTTTAAGAAGTTGGGAGAAAGAAAAAAGGAAACAAAAGTAGAGAAAAAGAAGTGAGCACACTTCTCACTGTGTGTGTATTTTTAGGCTAAGAACTCCTTAATCATCTGAATATTAAAATCCAATCATAAATTCCCTTTCTGATTGTTCTTGGCTTCCATTGTTGCTCCTGCCAGTGCTTTTGGTATGTCCTTTTTAGAACTAATGTGTTCTCTGTTTTCTTTGCTATTTTCCTGTTTATTACTTCCCTCTATCCCCCCTTCTCTTGCTCTTGATCTTTTTTAGCTTCTTTTGTCTCTGTTTCTCGGTCTGGATGATTATGTAAGTAAGGTCTCTCACTGGGCAAGTACTTAAAGAGAAAAAAGGAAGAAAAAAAAAACAGATACGCTGTTTAAAAAGTATGTTCATGGAGGCATCAAATTAATGAGAATCTCAAGGCCTGTGATACAAAAAAAAAGAGAAAAGGTTATGAATGCACTTAGTAATATGAAGCACTATTGGCCACTTTATGCATCAGTCCAGACATGAGTGTGTATACTTGCACGTGCAGGTACACACACATGTGCACGCACACACACACACTCATAGGTTAACAGACCAGGCAGAGGAATAAAATAATAATTGGGGTTCCTGGAAACCATTCTGGTAGATCTGTTTAGACTTTCTCTTTTTAAACAAAAGGCAATTTTTTAGTCGTACTACAAGAGAGATGACTACAAAAGAAAAAGTAATACATTTTATATTTCCAAAGATCTTACTTATGAAAATGATGCTTCAAGTATTATTTAAGAAGTTACAAAGTATATTATTTTTCATGTTTTTCAATGCTTATGACCATTTGCCAAAAACCCTTTAGGCGTTTTTCCCTCCCAGAATAAAGTATTAGTGTTCTTGCTTTTTTATTAAATATACACAAAATTCTCATGTTTACTTCTGGAAATATGGACCTGGGATCAACTATAGTGCTTTGAGACATGCCACAGTATCAGGGGTAATGATTCAAATATTTAGTGGCCAGCATGGCATGGCCAACAACCAGTCAGAGCAGACACTGTCCAAGAGCAGTGTAAGGGTAGCTGGGCTAGTGATGCCGCTGAACTACATTAACCTTGTGTACAAGGGATAGAGGACCAATGGGATTTGGTGTTTACCAGGGTGTTAACCAGGAGTTGGGGTTAATAAAACATTTGGGTGAAGTGTTTTAAGCTAGATAGAAGTCCTATTCTTTATTACATCTGATACATAGCTCTTCCAAATTGTCTATTCCATGAGTTATATGACTAATATGAGAATTATAGATGACAGCTGTTAAATTACTATTTTTCTGATAATAAACATCTAAACTTTTTGATTTGTGTGGCAATTTGACTCTATCTCACTAGGGACAATATTAAGTTTACATTAGGCCTTGTATGTTAACTCATTTAAAGTCAATTAGGGATTAGAATTATTTGAATGTGATGGCTATTTTGTGTCTTACCTCACCTCTTTTTCAAACTGTGTGTTGATAAGAAAAAATACTAAGTGATTCTGGTTACCAATAGGTTTTGTTAATGGAGTGAAGGTGGGATTTTATAGACCTAGTGGCAATAATTTTGAAAATTAAATGTGCTAGAGAATAAGTTCTCAATTTTATTTATTTTTTTTTCCAACGTTTATTTATTTTTGGGACAGAGAGAGACAGAGCATGAACGGGGGAGGGGCAGAGAGAGAGGGAGACACAGAATCGGAAACAGGCTCCAGGCTCTGAGCCATCAGCCCAGAGCCCGACGTGGGGCTCGAACTCACGGACCGCGAGATCGTGACCTGGCTGAAGTCGGACGCTTAACCGACTGCGCCACCCAGGCGCCCCAAGTTCTCAATTTTAAATAAGAATAGGTTTTTATGTATTCAGCACTTGTTATGATTTAGACAATATTCCAAGTGCATTATATAAATCATCTCACTTAGTGCAACAATATTATGAAATTAGTTTATTATTCTTGAGATCAAATTCAGAGACTGCTCTATTTTGTATTTTATAATTCTACTATATCTTGAACAGATTTTATACTTCTCAAGGACAAGTACAGTGTGAGCTAGCTCCATTAAGCTGACACATGTGGATATATTTTGAGAGGTATAAGCAGATGCACTAATGGAAGGGTTTATGAATACTCATGGTGATGGAGAGCTCAGTCCTTTGCTTTCCTGTTTTTAGTACCAGGGCAACCACTAAACTTCAAAGCAGAACCTGAGTCTGAAACAAGTATTCTGCTGTCTTGGACACCTCCACGTTCAGACACCATTGCCAACTATGAACTGGTCTACAAAGATGGGGAGCATGGAGAGGAGGTAGGACTGTGCTTCTCACCTTCTGACCATTTACTATACTGGAGCACTACTCTAGTTTGTGTATTTGCTCAAGTTTGGCTGAAAGCTCAGATATCGATAGAGAACTTTGGTGGGTCAGATTTATTCATCAAAAAAAGAACTTGCCTGATAAAAACAGAATATTAATTTCAAGCTTTTGGGAGGATGGAGTGAGGCAAACAACAACAACAAAACAGCTGTTGTTCCTATTTTCAGGTTTCCAGGTTTCTTCTAAAAGTATCTAAAAGATTATAGCCCCTGGGACTCAGGGACTTCCTTTATTTCTCTTCTGCCTTGTAGTACTTAAGTCACTGCAGATATGTGACTAAGTGAGCTCCAAGGCTTTAGGTGGATGAATTTGTCCAAACTGGTTTCAGAGAAAGAGGCCCCATAGCAAATGTTTATTTGTGTGCCAACAGTTATTTGATATTAATGTGAGCACATATAATGTTTGAGTGTGCTATGCAAATAAAATAATTGTGGATTGCAGAAGGCTGAAAGTTGTTGATAGTTCCTGAAAAGAGGAGAAAATTAGTATAATTAATACATATGGTAACAGATATAGCAAGGGGTTCACATATATTAACTCCTTCAATTCTTACAATGGTGCCATGAGTCAGTATCTACTTCTAATCAATTTCATGTATAACAAAACAGAAGCACAGGAAACATTAAACATTTTCCCCCAAATCTCACACTACTGAATGGCAGACCTGATATTTGAAAATCTAGGCAGTCAGGTTCCAGAATCTATTTTTTAAACATTAGCATATACTGCCTCTTGAGTGCACTTTGTATAAATTATAGAAATCAGTAGTAAGATACATCTAACATTTTGTTATTGTGAAATCCAATCCAGGAGCATTAGGACAAAAATCTTAGTGAAACTACACGTGACAACTCAATCCACACAACTCATCTTATTATACTGCTTAGCGTTCTTTATCTTAAAAAGATCTTCACAAAGCTAGGTAACCCTCAATCCTAACAGAAATACCTTTTTAAATACATACTAAGTGAAATATTATCAATTAACTTATGGTATATCATTCTGAATGCTATAGTAAATTAATATGTCCCTATAAACTTTTATCTTATTACATCTTTTAGAACTGAGCAGAATTCCCAAAACCAAACTCTAAATGGAATGCTTTTACACTTAGCTAACAAAGCCAATATGAATTAAGCACTCAAAAGGTTATAATTGAAATGCTGCTATAATTTAAAGGATTTATGTTACTGCAATAAAAAGACCAGCTTTTATTAAGACACACAATTCAATGTTAATTATTTTATATCCTTACCACTACCCAACTGAAAAACAAAAGAAAACAAAATAACAGCACAGAAGAGTGGAAATCCTTTGAGAATGCTATAGATGTAGATGCTTGAATGTTGGTACACCAACTCTGTTCTACAATTGTTTCTTTGGGGAATCCCTTTTTTTCTTACCATTTGGGAAATCTACAATTTCTAAAAGCTTTTCTATTTGTGAGCCAGAAACCCTTAGGGATGTTTTCTCTAGTTTTATATTTGAATTCCCCTTGAATGATTTCTGTTTGTATGAACGGCAAACTCTATTCAATGAAAAGCCTTAAGATTATTTATGCCAATACTAGATTACATATCAGCGTGTATTTTAAGGCTTACTAGAGGCTAATGTTCAATATGAGATTGATTATACATAGCTATATTTTTGCTAAAATGCAAGTCAAATTTTAAACATGAAAAGTAAGAATTATAACATTCAATTAAATAAGCCTTATTTCAAAAGCCCTTTATGATGGTAAAATTTGCAGAAAAGTTTCTGACTTTTTTATGTGTGCTCTATAGCCACAAAGAAAAACAAGTTTTAAAATTGTTTTAAATCAACATAGAATAATGATATGATTTCACATAAATTATCCAGCTTTCTTCAGTAACTAACATCATTTTTATCCCATCAGGACTTTGCCATTTCAGATCTATTTTGTAGCAACCGCATATAACCTGTACACCAGTTTCTGATGCTACTTCTGGTCATATTTTCTTTGCTCCTGTTTAGATTCAGAAGGTCATGGGCGATGAGCTAGACATCTCTTCAGGTGAAATTGCACATGTTGGCCATACTCCACCATCAGGGGTGGGTGTTAGTTTCTATTGTGGGCTACATCACAGCAACACATGCACCTTCAATACAACCCATTTATGGGTAGTGGCCTTTCAACCTTCCTTTTATCTGATGCACTTGGTAACTGGATCATCATTAGAAAGATCTGTGGCTTCCATTATTCCAGTTACCTTATTTGTTGTAGAAATTCACCATTAAAACACTGATATTTTCATTGTATAATTCCCCTGATAGAGTCCTAGATACTCACTGTGGATTCTATTTGTGATATTTTGATGCCTTTCTAACCTCAATAACAGAAATCTGAGGTTCCAGGCAGTGTGATAAAAATGTTTGCATGAATCCTAATGGAAATGACCCAGTTCTTCTGTTACTTATCCACAGCAACGAATTACCATCGAGCCAGGGACATCTTACAGACTGCAAGGACTGAAACCAAACAGTTTGTACTACTTCCGTCTGGCTGCACGCTCTCCTCAAGGCCTGGGTGCTTCCACAGCTGAAATATCAGCCAGAACCATGCAGTCAAGTAGGTGTCTCTCTTTGCTTGTTTTCTGTCCTTTTTTTCACTAGCAGGTGTTGCGGCCTTTTATCCCCACCAATAAACAAATCAGCTAATTTATATGTTTGCTAGTTAGTAGTTTCTATGCTAGTAAGCATCCAACTTTGAGGATTACAACTGTGACCTGTGTTGGTCTCCAACTTGGTCCAATAGCAGATCCCATTCTCCCACTTCCTAAACTGAAAGAAGTCTGAGAAGTTCAGAGAGCTCCATGAGGAAAATGAGTGAAAGTTTTACCTGGCCCTGTATAATGATTTATAAGGCTACAAAGCAAACTTCTGGTTGAGAACACTGCCAAATAATCACAAGAGGGCTTAGCAAACTAAAGAGGCAACAGAGACCGTATTTGTATGTTTTTTAAGTACAGAGGTTTTAATTTTGCTAACAGGTCTTTATTTCATGTATTTGTTTCTACTCAGAGAAAAGCTCAGCTCTTGTGACTAGTTTGTTATTAAGTCCGCAAGTAGTACATGTGAAAATTTGGAACATTCATAGAAAATCTGTATTTGGACAAATTTAGGAACAATGGAAATCACAAGTACATTTGCAATCCTAAATTGTATTTTATTTCCTCAGGTTCAATTTCTTTTTGGAACTCGTAACCTAAAGCATAGTTATGTTTATCACAATGGGGGTTCATTGTATCCAGGGAAGATTGCTTTGTGTAAAGTATTAATATGGAAGTTTATTTTTGATGGAAAGTTTGGTTACTCATAATAATACAATTGTTTGCTCTTTATTAGTAAGTTTCCATAATTAGTCTATTAAACAACCATTTACCTTGAACAGTTTTATGGAGTTATTCCTTAGGTATTTTTTTTATACTTCATATTTTATATGTGATTTTTGATAGTTACATATGCAATAGATATGTGTGATCTCAGTACATTGAATTTTGTAAAGTGGATGCTCTGTTGACCTAAATTTTAGGCCTTTCAGCAAAGACGAAATTTACATTTTCTAAAAAATGAATTTTCTTTCACATAGGCAAGTTTTCTATTATTTCATTTTCTTATAGAAACTTAAAATCTTCCAGGGTTTTTTGAAGATAAATATATATTCTCTCTCTTTCTCAAAACATGAGTGTTGGTACAAAAAGTATTAGGGCTCTGTTACTTAATCCATTAGGGATAATAACCTATTCCCATAAAATTCCCTTTCTTTTATAAACTGAAACATTTAAATTAATGCAGTTTTGTATTCTATTTTGAATGCCGAGCAGGCTAATAATTAATATTGTAGAACATAATTCTTAAATTCAGGAATTTAATTACAAAAAAATGTGATATGCTTCAATATTGTATTTTGCCTGGTTTACAAATGTATGTATGGATACATACATTCATACACATATATTTAAATATACAGAGCTAGAATAGACATTTTATAACCACGTCAAAAGCTTATCTACTACTCTTTATTTTATTAAAGTAAAAGTTCCAAATAATGTTGAATATATTCTCATGGAATAGGAGGTCTGAAGGTAGCAATGCAGTAAAAACCAAGTCAGCTTTTTAAAAAGAATTACAAATGAGTCTTGCTGTTACATGAATGACTCAATTTATTATGAATACTGATAATGCATATGAAATAGTTTCATAATTTGAAATATAAGAACCTGTAGCCAGAATCAATAAAAATGATAGATATTCTAGTTATTTTGCAAATCTTACTCCAAATGTACAAGATTTTCTTATGAGAATTTCCCTATGATCAGTACAGGGAGCTTTTCATTTTGATTCACTATGATGAAGATCACAAGACATGTAAACTTAAAAAGACAGATAACCCTGTAAACAGATACACCTGACACTACGTAGTATTAAGACCCACAAAGTCTCAGGAAATAACCAAACTCCATATTTAAATACATAAAATTAGAAATGATTTACCGATTCACCTATAAATAATAAGTAAATAAATAAATAAATAAATAAATAAATAAATTTTATCCCTCTTATTCTAAGGAATTACATATTATTAACTTCCAAATATTTTTTGATAACATTTGCATTGCTCTTATTGCTTTTTAAATTTTTTCAAGTAATGATATGTTTGGGTAATTTGATGGAAACTAATCGCTCATAAAGTGACCATTTTATTTTAGAATGGACAATAAGAAAGTTTCTCTTTTAACTCTTATGTAAACTCTGTGTGAATAACTATGTACAAAATGAAGGAGATTTTGCACATAAGTCATATCTTTTCCAGATGGTTCTCAGGATTTTTTTAAACAATTCTTTTTAATGGCTTTGTTACTGACATTTTATAAGGGATAGATGATTATTATTGATTTTACCAAAATTTGCTGGTGGAATCTAATTCTTTACTAGTAATGATGTCTGAAGAAGAGTTATAATAAATTCTTTTAAAAAGCTGAAAGCTGACGTAGGGTAAGTACAAGTTACAGTCAGAATCAACAAGCCTGACATTACCCTCGGGTAGGTAAATCTTGGACTATGCATTTTCATCCTTTATTGATTCTGCATGCTCACTGTATATGGGCTACAATCAATGCTAGATTAACACCTTTCATTAAAACTGGTCAGGCTGGCTCCGTTTTTCAGATAGTCAGAGGGAACACTTTTATATTTGGGCTTTTATTTATTTATTTATTTTTTAATTGGAATTGCTGGAAGGGCATCCAACAATTACTGCAACTTTTTACACTTGAAAACCCTTTCACGAATGAATACTGTACATGAATCACCCTCATTCTAGAATGTAGAAATGAAAGCTTAAAACGGCATCTGTGAAGCATCATCTGACTCTCATGTAATAAATCTTGCCATATTTACAGCTTTTTTAAAGTTGGGTAGTCTGTGCAGTAGGGCTGGGAAATACTGAGGGATTGGTTTAGAAGAAGAATTTAAATTGCAGGTAGGTAATTTTATTTGAGGCTCTATTATCTCAAGGTTTCATGTTCACATATTCCCCCCACCCATTATTTAACAATTATTTCTGGTCATTTATTCATTTTTTGGTTTATTCATATTACTAAGCCAAGGTACATATACTTAAATTTTTATTTTGAGTTTCAAAGCCTTATTTTCATTTTGTTGCCCTTCTTGTTCGTTTATTTATTTTTGCCTTTTCTTTTGTTTTATCATTTTTTTTTCCAACCACTCCTGCCCTTTCACTCAAACCTTCCTTTAACTCACTACCAAAATAAGAGCCGTCAGCTCCTCCTCAAGACATTAGTTGCACCAGCCCAAGTTCCACTAGTATTTTGGTAAGTTGGCAACCTCCACCAGTGGAAAAACAGAATGGAATTATTACTGAATACTCCATCAAGTACACCTCCGTGGATGGAGAAGATGACAAACCTCACGAGATTTTGGGAATTCCTTCGGACACTACTAAGTACCTTTTGGAACAGCTGGAAAAATGGACTGAGTACCGGATCACTGTGACAGCCCACACAGACGTCGGCCCTGGCCCCGAGAGCTTCTCCGTGTTGATTCGAACTGATGAAGATGGTATGTTGCCTCTGCTACGTCAGTTTGCACCCTTCTGACACAATCTTGGTCTGCTGTCTTTTGATAGGCTAACGGTAATCCGTTTTTTGTTTTTTGTTTTTTGTTTTTCTGCTCATCTTTTTTACCCAGCATCGCTATAACTTCGTAGTTTTTGCCAAAGACCTATCTTTGCTGCAGGCTGGGCATTTTTTTTTTTCAATCTCCACACAACAATTCGCTTCCCTTTAAAAGAACAGTTCGCTGGTATGACCTTGCAATCCAGGCCGTTCTCTATACTTCCGTCTAAAGTCTTCTGCACTTTTCGTGGCCTTTTTGAATAATTTCTTTTACATTTTGAAGTAAACTTTTCAAAACTCTCTTCTTATCTTCTTGTTGCCTTTTTGTTTTGCATATTTCAGAGACACTGATGCTCGACATTCAATTTTTGGCATCTGTTGTTTGGAAACCTTTGATACAAGAAAAAAAAGAGAAGAAAACCCATATAATCAAGAATCTTTTTATTCTGCTAAAAAGAAACCTTTAAAAAAAACACACAACAATCAACAACCAGTTTTTGTTATTATTTCAATGCTATTCCTCTTTGTGCTTTAATGCTTTGAGCCTCAAAGCATCTTCCTTGGCTTTTGTACATTTTTTACATGTTTTTCTATTTCTCTGATACTCTTTTTTTCTTCCATTTTTTTTTTTTTTTTGGCATTGGTCATGTTTTTTGATCTTTTCTTAAAAGGTAGAGCAGATTGGTTGAGCATTTTCATTGCTTGAAAATGTTTGTATTCCACAAAGGAAACATAGTGTGTCTGCCCATTTTTTTTTTAAACCTAAGTAAAGAAAATACTCTGACTGGGTGGGACAAGTGCCTATAATTTTCTTTTATCCAATGATGTTGTTCCAGTTCCTAGTGGTCCTCCTCGCAAAGTCGAGGTAGAGGCTGTCAACTCAACATCTGTTAAAGTCTCATGGCGCTCACCTGTGCCCAATAAACAGCATGGCCAGATAAGAGGATACCAGGTGCATTATGTGAGGATGGAAAATGGTGAGCCCAAGGGCCAGCCCATGCTGAAGGATGTGATGCTGGCTGATGCACAGGTAAGCCTCTGAAAATACATACCTATGTTTTTATTTATTTATGATACTTTTATTTTAGTCCATACCTTGAAATGGGCCCTGTTTGTTTGTTTGTTTGTTTGTTTATTTTACATTTAAAAAATCCTGTACAAAATTCCAGTTTTTAAAGCACATGATGTGTATTTACCTTCTCAGAGTTGACAGCAAGTGAGGAAGTAAATTATAATAAGCTGACACTCAAGCCTAATTAAGAACATGTAACTGGTTTCTTAAAATAAAGATAGTCAACTCTCTATATTGATATCTGAGTTTACCTTTCTGTCTTCAAAAAAATTGAATTGATTTTAATCAAATTAACAGAAAGAATCGTACGCAGCTATGCTAAAACTACTTGTAACTAAGTTGATCTAATTTCTAAGTGTAGAACTTCTTCTGTTGAAGAATACACATCCTTAATTGAGGAAAGGTATCCAGATAGTATTTTATTTAGTACTTAATCAAAACATGTATTCACAAGTAATTATTTGATTTCCTGGAAAATGAAGATAATGACCATAAAAATTAATTTACAGTTTCCCAGGAAATAAATGAGAATCCTCTATGTTAAGCCAAGTTAAGAAAAGTATGAAGAAGAGTTGAGTATGTGAGAAACTCTATTGATCCTAGAGTGATGGTTTATAATCATGCAGTCACAACTGGCTTTTGTAATCAGTTGTTTAAAGCAGAGCACTAAATGTTTCCATTTTATTTCCATAAACTAAAGTGTTTCAAAGGATGATACCATAATACATCCACCTGTATTCTACATATTTACCTGAAAAGAAGAGGAAGATTTCAGTTAATAACTTATGCTGGGATTTACATATAATCCACAGATAGCTTACCTATAACTGGCTCCAGGAGTGATGGGATGTTATGAATAGATTGCTGTGCTTATCTAGCAAATTGGTCGCTGGGCATGGAAATGGATGGGGTTTGGAAAATTTGAAGTTTATTTCAGTAAAAAATTCCTTCCTTTGTGTGAAAGTGAAGTAGACTGTGAGCCAAGTTGAGAAATACTACGTTAGGTTGCCAAATTCTGCATTCTTGTCTCTGTGCAGACAAGAGAGCAATACATATCCTTGTGGCTATAAGGAAAGCATTGACCTAATGTCTTAATATAATCAATTCACAAAAACACTTACTTAACTAATGGGATCTGGATGAGTGGCTTAATCAGCTCCAAATCCAGTTACATGGTTTTGAAGTCTACTTCTATAAACTTATATTTTAGATTCATATTCTTTTAGACTCTGGCTGTTGACTTGCTTTTTCTAAATGTTTATTTTGTGCTATCTGTGAAACAGAAAGTACTCACAATCTGAAATTAATAAAGCCATTGTTGCCTATGTTTTCTTTTGTAAGTCTGAAATTATGAAAAAAATTATATGGCCACCATGCTCTGATAGCCTCTTTCATGTCCTAGATATTTTTGCATTATAAACCTGTAGTTTTGCCAGTGTTTTCATTTTGGTTAATGAAATTATATGATACAAAATGCCTTAAATGTCAACATTTTTCCCGTCTCTTCTACTTTGTCTTTTATTTGTTAATGTGCTAATTTTGCTTATGTATATATGTTTTTGGTTGTGTTTTTTTGGGTTTTTTTTTTTTTGTTTTTGTTTTTGGGTTTTTTTTTGCCTACCTCGTATGCTAACTATTCATTGAAATTCCATTGCACCTTGCAAGACTTCTCTGGGGCTAGAAGATTCCAATATTTTATGAAAGGTGTTAATCTAATTACTGACATAAATTAATTGCATAACATAAGGAAAAAGTCAAAATAAATGTGATAAAGTAGTGTATGATTAGAAACATCAGCTTTACATTATGCCTTAATTGATTCATTCCAATGAACCACATGTTGAAAAATATGTATTATCTGATTTTAATGCTATTAATACAAAGCATATTTACTTTTGACCTCTGAATTAGGGGTGAGGGTGACAGCATACATACTTTCTCTTTGGAATTTTGTTGTACACACTGTTCCAATTGCTTATTTTTTCAATTTTTTTTTTTAATCTAAGGAGGGCAACATTGCCTTTTAAGTCTGCAAATTTCTCTTCATTTCTTTTTATTTTGTTTCCTCTTCCCCAACCTTCTTAATTTCAATCAGTGGGAATTTGATGATACTACTGAACATGTGAGTAATTTTTGGACGCTTTGTCAAAAACAGATTACAAATGCTTGTTTTTTCTACACCCCTCTTTCACTTATGTGTGATATGTCATCACAGATTGCTTGGATGCATGAACTAACAAATTATTTTTAAATTATCTTCACTCTATGTTATCCTTTTTATTTAGGCTTTTATTTTGTGAAATTGGCATGTTGCTACTGATTGCCTAAGAAAATCATGAGCTCATGTTGTTTTTATGGCTGCTACTAACTCTGCCTTTTGACACAGTTAGAGGAGGCATGCTTCAAGTGGAGACATCCCAGATGAGAGATATCAAGCTGTTTGATATAGGCCATTCATCTATCCTACCCCAGGGTTACATTTTAGGTGGATAACAATGTAGATCTGGTACTAATTATATTTAGAAATGGCAACTCTCTGTTATACCCACAGAAATTTGAGTAAAATTGAATGAGTCATGCCAAGAAGCAGAAAGTATTTCACTGAGAGAGGAATTTTTAAAAATATTTTGATGACTGGATTATGTTATTTATTGAGAGCTTATTATTATGTAAAGGTTTCCATGGGAGTCATAGGATGTGTCTTTGCCTTCTAAGTGCTTACAGTAGGTGGTTAGGAAGTATGTAAAGTTCAGAAAGGTTCATAAAATACAACAAAAGCAATGACCTCAAGCAATGTGTAATTAATTAATAAATGAGTGACAGTGTCAGTAAGAGCTGTGAGTTTGGAGGCCATGGACCAAAAAGAGGTCTTAAAATGTAGTTGAGAACTTGAAAGATAAGTAAGGATTGAAGAGTGGGAAAATGTGTGTGTGTGTATGTGTGTGTGTGTGTGTGTGTGTGTGTGTGTGTATTGGGGAGTTGGAGGTAGAAACATATTTTTTAAAGTACAGGAGAAGCAGTCATTGGGACAGTCAAGAATGTCATATAGTCAATTGATAGTGAGCTTTGCCAATTTAACATGAATGAAGGGATTCAGGCTAGTAAATTAGCTCTAACTATGGCTAAGAAATAACATTTAATATAATGTTGGGAAAACTTGAAGTGTCAAGCTAAAGACGTGGCTTTTAACTCTTCAGTACTGGAAAGATATAGAAAATTAAAAATAGAAACAAGAGACAAACTGGTAAGGGTATTCTTTCATTTTATTTATTTATTTATTTATTTATTTATTTATTTATTTATTTATATTTTTTGCCAAAACACAGGGCTCTTGTTGGGAATGTTGGTAAATATGGTGGGCAAGGTATTAGTTTTAATGGAACTAACAGTGTTTTACAAACTTTTTTGACTGTGATCCATAGTAAGAATGCATTAAATATCATGACCAATGCGTTCATATGTTTAAAATGAAAGTCTTACAAAATGATACCTTATTTTTAAATATATGTAAGATTTAATATTTTTCATTAAAGTATATTATATTTCTTTTCAAAATGCTGGTCATTGATTTCATGACCTACTTAAATGGGTTATTACCTGCAGCTAAAAAATGACTTAGTGGATAGATTAGAGAGAAAGAAGAGAGTAAACAGGGACACAAAAACAACTCTTTCACTAAAGCAGTCATGAAATTATAAAAAATCCAACAAAACTGAGACAGCAGAAATGAAAAAAGGGACAGTTTTTGTCACCATTTTAAAAACAAAAACTTGCTGAATAGGAATTTGAGGAAGAAAAAGAGATCAAGGTCAATCATAAGTTTGGCATATGCTCTACCATTCACTAAAGTATAGAAGCAAGGGAGTTTGTTTCTGGAAATGACATTTGAGCTTTAGTTAAGTTGAACTTGAGGGAACAATTGATTGTCAAGGAAAAATGTTCACATATTTACAATGTACATGCCATTGGTGCCCTGATGGGAAATCAAGACAAAATGAATTTAGTATATAGATAGAAAAAATTCTTTAAAATTTGTAAATGTGTTTTTTAGGACTAAAAAGAAACACATCAGGCCAGTAACTGTTTCAGAATACCTGGGAATGCCAACTTTTAAGGGACAGGGACAAGAAGTTGAATGGAGATGAGTTGGGGGAGACAAAGAGAATGAGGAACTGGCCAGGATATCAGCCACACCACCCCACAGAGGGTATGGAAATCCCTGAGCGAGTATGCACACAGTTTCAAAAAAGAAAATGTAATGCAAGAAATGATGGGATCCAGGCAGATAGAGGTGTGTCCAGCTGTGATTATACCACTGCAGAGGGTTTGACCAATTTCAAATTGCATTACAATTTATTATCCTGTAACAGTCTGTGTGAGAGGAAGGACATGTGTGGCTAATCTCAATTTTATAAATGAAAAAGACATATATAAGTTTCAGAGCATATAAATTTCTTCCACATATAAATTTGGTGATAGAGGCAAGCCTTGCTTTTTTCTTCCCCTAGCCTTGCCTACATTCAGCAGAAATCCAATAGCATGTGAGAGGGACCTTGGAAGCAATAATGCTGGTGTTTTCCCATTATAATTTTTGGAATACCCATTGTATCTACTGCTACTCTTGGGTGATTCGGATGGTTTTTGTAGTCTCTGTAATGTTAGTGAAACTATTCCAAGGTTCTGAAAATAAAATCTCTCTCCCAAATTTAGCCCATTCATCTGGCAGAATAATTTTTCCAGTGGCTCTTCGGTATGATATCTGAAATTCTTGAATTTCCACTCTGATGACATTCCTACTATTTCAAGAAAACAAGACTGTCAAAAACTGTCATATTTGGGATAAGATTCAACAATTGAGTTCTATGATGCCCCTTACAGCCTTATACAGAGAAATCCTCTTGTCTTGTACACAATCCAGTCCATTCCATGAACTCTCACTTGCATTGTCTTCAGATGTGGAAGTCAATGGCATTGTACATTTTCTTAACTCTAACTATATTCAGTTTGAAAACAAAGCTATCCAGAATATCTGAAAGGGTTTTTTGTTTTTGTTTTTGTTTGTTTTGTTTTTTTACTGTGTGTGTGTGTGTGTGTGTGTGCGCGCGCGCGCGTGCGTGCGCACACGCATGCACGTGCTTGTGCAGCAGCTCTGGAGAAAATAACAGAACAAATTAGTAACCACTCTATGTAAAAAATCATATAATCTCCAGTTTGGAAGAACATATCTAAGTCATAACCATCACAGTTTGGGGCCCTAACTTAGAGAAAACTAGAGTTTTAATAAATAGTTTGTGATATTTAACATTTTCTAAGCAGAATTAATTGAGCCCACATTCATGATGTGGTAGAAAAAGTATTGTTCTTTGGTTTTATGGACGACTCCAAATCACCAGAAAATTCTCCTTATTGGGTAATGATTTTAGTCCATAATCTACATCATTAACCAGTATGTTACTCGAGTCCTAAGAAATTTCTCTGGCTGTCAAGATATCAAAGTCCAACAGATCAGCCATTTGGCAAAATGGTGATAAAACAGGCTGCAGTGGCATCAGTACCATCACTGCTCTGTGGACCAGGCTATAGAGGACGCATGTACAGAGCTACTGGAGTAATATGAGTGCTGGTGTCTGGGTTGCTTGCTATGAGCCAGACATAGCCGTAAGTGTTTGCTGGATATAACTCCTTTAATCCTTCTATTATTCCAACCTTTACAAGAGAAACTGAGGTGCAGAGGGGTTAACTCACTTTCCCTGGATCACAAACCTAGTAAATAAGGAAACGCAGGTTTAAATTAAAGAATTCAGGAGTTCCAGCTCCAGGTTTCATGTTTTTAACTACTACTTCTCAGAACTACCTCTTAGGATGGCTGAAGTCCCCCACTTTAATGTCAGCATGAACACAGATCATCCATAGCATGAGCTCCAGGCATGAAACTTCCAGTGCTTGGCATGGCTACAGGGAGTAATGAAGCATGCATAGAATGAAGATGGATGTTTTGATTTTCCCCCAGGGTATTTGTAGCATTTTGAATCAGTGTCATTCCATTGTGTCATTTTAGGACATGATTATTTCTGGGCTACAACCTGAAACTTCCTACTCCCTCACCGTCACAGCCTACACCACCAAAGGAGATGGTGCACGAAGCAAGCCCAAACTGGTGTCCACCACTGGGGCAGGTAAGCATTATCTGTGCATATATGTGCCTTGAACATCTTCCAGGTGACAATAATATTAATTTTCCAAATAGTATGTTGAATTCTATCAGAAGCAATAAGTGGGCTGTGGTCAACTTTTGTGTTTTTTGGTATATAGTTCAGAAGAAGCAAAGCAAGAACATACTTTTCCCAAATTATTCGATCAGTTATTCAACAAATATGTTTTTGAGCACTTAGTAGATGTCAGGTGCTACCCCCAGTACTGGGGATACAGCAATCAACAAAACAGAAATATTCTTTCCTCTTGAAACTTATGTTCTGAGTAGGGCTAGATAATTAATAAATAGACAAATGGAGATATATATATATATATATATATATAT